CCTACTTCACCAGATCAGTCTTCTCAAAGCCCAGAAAAAACACGTTATATTCTGTGCAACTGACATCTCCAACGCGTACAACTGCGTGGATATCAGCATCTTAAAGGACTTGTTAATCGAACTTGATGTTGAAAGTCTATATGTAGAATGGATCAACTTTTTGGCTTTCAGAATACTGAAAATTGGTAATAACTCTACTCACATCTTCAACGGTTTACCTCAGGGTAGCTGCCTGTCCCCCCTACTATTTAATATCTACACCACCGAACTCCACAATCTAACTGATGTCGATTTCCATCTTTACCAATTTGCTGACGATTTTTGCTGTCTAGCCTCTGGACAGAATCTTCAAGAAGCTCAACATAACCTGCAGTCAATAATCAACCTATTTTCTACCAAATGCAAACTGCTAAACCTGTCTGTAAATCCGGAGAAGACCAAACTGATGTATATTAGTAAGGGTCCCAAAAAAGACATACACATTCAGCTAGATGGCACAACTCTATCACAAGTAAGCAATTTAAAAATTCTTGGCAGAATTATAAACAGCTCCTTAACAGTTAAAAACCACTACTCCATGGTTACAGACGCGTCAGCAAACAATATTAAGCTTTTTAAGTACATTACTAACATTAACTCGGGTCTTCACCCCCAAAAAGCATTAAATATCTACAAATCGTTAGTGAGATCAAAGATTGAATACTGTAGCACCACTACTGCAAACTGTGCCAAGTCTTCCATACGAAAAATTTCCACACTCCAAAATAAGTTTCTGAGAAGATGTCTAGGAGTAACTCCCTCTACACCTATCCCAACTATGTATGCCATAGCGAACGAACTCGCTCCACAGGAAAGGTCCATATGGCTCACATCAAAAGAGCTAGTAAAAATATTTGCATATAATAATCCAATAGCCAAATCAGTCAGAGAAAATCCTCTTTTAAACTCTAGTTATTCTGCAGTCTACAACAAATTCTCTCATATTCTTGACCGTCTTGATGTGGTGTGTTTCCATCCTCCCACCTTTGATTTTGTAATTTCTGACAAAACACTTCCCAATAAAAAAGCGGCTATGACAAATGAGAGCATTAAAGCTTATCATGCTAGTATTCTAGACAAATATAAAATGGATAAATTTTACATCTTTTATAGCGATGCGTCTCATTCTGAAGAAAGCACTGGCTGTGGAGTCTTCAACTATGCTAATAATACTGAACACCGCTATAAGATTCCTTTTAAAGCTTCCTCAACCTTTGGTGAATTACATGCAATAGACAGTGCTATTGACATTGCTATCAGCGAAGGTTACCTGAAAATAGTAATTTTTACTGACAGCCTTACTTACTTACTATAGTGAGTTCACCCCTACAAGACGCGAACTCCAACACATTCACAAGTAAAACTAACACATATGCAAAAATGTATATGCCAGTCGGGTCGGGTAGAACAGTGACAATCATTTTACCTGTCATATGATTGTCAATGCTGATAGAATAAAAAAATTGTTCAGTGAGGCTCCGTGCCAATTGATAGACAATTTTGACAGCTATGAGGTGAATAAAAATGTTTGATACGGCAGGGCTAGTGAAAAATTTGACAGCAAGCATTATCAAGAAGAAGAACGAACAACGCACGTATACACATAAATTAAAGAAAACAAAAGCGAGTGGAAATAAAAGAACATGGTCCCGCTGGCAAAAAAAAAAATAAAGAAAAGCTATATAACTTGTAAGATTTAATTTCAGATTTACATATGAAAAGGCGTTATGTATTTCTTTAATTAAAAATACTATTTTACAGGGAGCAGTTCAGAACGCAGAATCCTTCTGGAAAAGCGCATTGACAAGGATGTTTGGTTCAGTTCAAAGAACGCCAACAGCAACGAAGGCTGGAAGTGAGTAAGAACAATATAAATAGTTTGAAGACTTTATTAAGCAAATGACTTCGTACTCCACTGACCATCCGTGGCGCTTTTTGGGAATGTGAGTTAGGCTGACTTCCAAAACGTCAATTGCTTTGTATACGTACAAAGTATAAGGTTCCTTAACGTCGAACTACAAAATATTGACAATGTATACTGTTCCAAAACGCAGCCGATTAGTTATCGAAACGTATCGCTTGAGCAATCAGCGCATCAGAAACAAAGTTGACACTTCGTTTGTTATTGGTTAGCATTGATGTTTTAAATATGGAAAATTCAGAAAAATTGTTCATTGCTATATTGAATATTTAAAATATGCAATGTATATGGTTGCAATGTGTCGCAACTCTGCATATACATACAGTTTGAATACCGCAGTATAACAGTTTCCAAACATTGTATTGATACGTTTTGGAAGTCAGCCTTACAATTTTTCGAAACGAAGCAGAGGACAACCTAAGATACATTTTTGTAGTCTTGTTATCGCCGTTCATAATGCTGCTTAATATTTTGGAATAAACGTCTTGTTGCATGTACATAATACCCTAAAACCACATATGTTTTTATTGGAAACAATTGTACACGGTTTTAACCATTTTTGTGAACACACTTACCAGACGGTTTTGACGTGTTTTTATTTCTAATATTACTGCTAAAAGGTCTAATAAATGCATGGATTTCAGTTCCAGAAGAATTGAAATCATCAAAGGCAAATATTTTCTATATAATTGCTGCATTTTATAAATTGCAAACTCGATAGTCTTCTTGTGCATCAAAGCAACTGTCAAAAATTTCCAGCAGTAAAAAGTTACGAATTGGCACAGCAGAAATGTAAAATTTTCTCACCATTGTAAAAAGTTTTTCCACCATAGAACTTTTCTATCAATTGGCACAGGCCCTAAATAGAAAATTTTGACGGATCAAAGTAAAAATTTGACACTGCTCGTGGGGAATACGAACGTCAAAATTTTACCTAGCTCATGAGGCTAGGTAAAATTTTGACAGCTTATAACCATGTATACACATAATATTGCTTGGCGGTAATTTGGAGTGAACATGAAAATGAAAGCTGAAACAGCATAAAAAAGCGTACGTTACTTGCAAATTATAAAATAAATATAAGTTTTAAGAATTTCAGCAACACACAAAAATAAAGCTTTCGCACGAGCGTTTGTTTGGTTTTTCAACTGTCAAAATTTTACTCTGCATTTGGCACAGCAAAATTCAATTTATTTGTACACCATAGCAAATTTTTCCACCCCGTCTCACCACGGAGAAAAAAGTTACCGATTGGCACAGGCCCTGACTATCATTTTGCCGGTCATATGATTGTCATTGATGATGGAAAGGTACACAAGAAAAGAAAATATGTACATCATTATAAATCAGAATTAAAAAATTCTAGAAGCGAAAGGACGCGGTCGATATTAACAATTGTTAACCAAGAAAATGCAAAGATAAGTATTTTAATGGAACTTAAAGTGTTTTAAAATGAAAAAAAGAAATTTTAGTAATGCTATGAGCAAAGAAAAGCGAATCTTCGAATCCAACGTCAAAAGATTTCGTGCTCATAGACAATCAGAATGTGTGGGAAATGCAGAAGTGAATGTAGAAAGTGCAATTTCATATAGTTCAAGTGAATCACAGTGTAATTTACAAAATGCGGTTTTAGAGCCTTCAGACTTTTCCGATTTTGAATGCGAGTCTTTCAATTCCACATCTCGGCGTAGTCCTTTGTCCTCAGAAAAAAGTTTAGAGTGTGTAGAAAAAAGTGAAGTTATTCGGTCGTGGGCCATTAGGAACAATGTCTCGCAAAATACATTGGACGATTTGTTGCGAGCTTTGCATAAAATAGGAGTAAGTGATTTACCGATGTCTGCAAAAACTCTTTTAAACACCAGTAGAGAAGTAGCTAATGTTATAGTCATAAAACTAGTCCTATTAAAGTAACAAATGTAATAAAGACATCTAATTCAGAAAAAATGTTGTGCAACGTGTTTCAAAATATTGAAAGTTTTTTCGAAGAACCCCTTGACTCCTCTTTAGGGCTGGGCATAATTGTTGCAAGCCAGTTAAATACTGAACAAGTTGAAATCACAATAAAAGATATAAATTATAAATACTTCTGCGTGCCTTACAATAATTTTAATAAATTTTTACTTATTCCACTCTTGCACAACCTATTTCACGACTTTAATCATTAAACCACACATTCTGGCTTGTTTAAAAATTATAATAATATGATATAAAACCTAATAAAAAAAATAACTTAAAATTTAGATCCTTGAATATGAATTTGAACCTCAGCAGCTTTTTAACTGAGTCACTTTTCCAAGCGACTCAAGACGAAAGTCATAAGTACAACCAAAATGTATTCAACAAAGTGTGACTGAATTTGATATTGCTCTCATTAGAAACCACCCTATAAAGTTGAAAAAAAAATTTTTTTAATTTTAAATCGTTCGTTTATATTTGTTGACACAACAGTACCTTAAAAGAGAGCCCCATGATACAAAAAAGAAGGTAGTTTCAATAAACAACTTTTTGATTAAAAAGCAGATTTTTGACAATTGCTCAAATGTGAAAAATTCGAAGCGGCATTACCCAATTGTAAGTTTTTTGGTGTGGGACATTTTATATTCTAAATTTGGGATTATAAAGTAAATAGTTGTATTAATATATACCTTTTAAAACTAATCAATATCTTATTTTGAAAACGTTTAAATTTTACATTAAATTCGATAACAACTTGCCAAATCATTATTTTAATATTAATACAATTTTAGTGAACATATTTTAAAATTATGTTAGTGTCCTCATGTCATCTCATTAATTCACAATGTAGTTTTCTATATCGGATACGTGATTCTGATGTAATTCTGAAATTACACATTTCGATGTGTTATTTAATACATATTGTCTTTGTCCATTTAACAGCAATGGAATTTACTTTGGAACTCATGGGCCGTAAAATTTTTCTAGCAACACATATTGTTTTCACATACAATTTTGACACACCCAAAATTGAAGGATAAAATAAATAGATAAAAACAAATTTTCAATAAAACTGATTTGTGTAGTCCAGGGTCGTCTTTAGTAAATTTTTTGGAGGCTGTTTTAACATATCCTATCTTATTATATATTTCTTAGCTTTTCTACATTCTGAGAAGTTGAGTAAATGAAGTCTAATATTCTTTTTTGGTCAACTACGATGTTTGATTTCATTTTTTGCAATCATTAGTTCATTTCGCTTGAGGAGTCACAATGCCCATACCGGCTGTTTTTGAAATTTCGGACACAAGTTTTCCAATAATGGTTATAGGCTAAAACAAAACCGATATCTAAAGTGCGTGTAGAACCTCCCATAGAAATCGAATTTTTCATAGTGCATATCTCTGGAAGTATTTGTGGTAGAGTCCTGGAACTTTGTATGGATATATGTATATGAAGTCAATCTTAAGCTCATGGAAAAATAAGAGTTTATTGGAAAATGCGGCGTGCCACCGTAGAACTAGGAATAGAGGTAAATGAAATCAATCCAAAACCTATGAAAAATGGGGGTATATGAAAACAATCTCGTAGCCGTTCAAAAGAGCTAGCGGTATAAGCCAAATAAACTAAAATTCTGGTGACGCATAAAAAACCTCTGGAAGCATTTACCTAGAATACAGAGATAAGGTATTTTTCCAACGAAAATATGTACAGAAAAACGGGCGCCACACCTTCTGGAAAGTAACATGATCACAGGGTGTATCCCGAAAACCATTTTAAGCTAAACCTTCAGGGATTATATTATTGCCAAGACCCACAGGCATAAGCCGAAATTGCGTCGCAAGTTTTATGATCGGCTCGGGTAAGGTTTAACCACTTAACCCCCCTTTGTTTTCGTCGCTACTGAATTCTATAAACTGTCAGCTTTCACACAATTTAAAATATACATGTGTATTTAAAAATGTCATGAAAATTGTGTTGCTAGCTTCATGTTGCAAAATGTTTCAAGGAAATGTTGTGGAATTTCACACTTATTTCTTGTT